AAAGGTCTCTGGTAATCCTTTAAGGGTTAACGGTTTAAATGCAATTTGAACCATACCAATATGAATATTATATTATATTATATTATATTATATTATATTATATTATATTATATTATATTATATACCAAGGGGGTATGGGATCGCTTCCGTGAGGCTCTGTAATTGAACTTCAGCCGTGGCAAACTACCAATCTCTAGGTAAAACTTAAACCACAATGCTCCTTACAACCCTTCAACGGCCACCTGCCTAAACGGGTTTACGAGCATCACCGGTTAGGTTGGCCTAACCAAGGCTTACTGTCGAGATTGGTAATTGTCTGGTCTATCCAGTTCTTAATCTAAAACTTCATCGGGGTGATACAGTAGACTCTTAGCTACAAAACATGTTTATATTATATTATATTATATTATATTATATTATATTATATTATATAAGAACAGTCAAAAGAATCAGGACCAATGAGAAAGGAAGCATTTGCTTGGGAGCAGAATACTAATTCACTCATGACAGCAGATAGAGTCACAGATAAATAAAAAGACATGAGGTGAGCCCGTTAAGCAAACTGGAAGAAACTCTAGCTTACTATTTTTGACCACTCAGGAAGCAGCTTCAGCACTTTATCAATATCAGGTTTTTGTCCTGAAAGAGAAGAAAAGAAGAATCAAGGTGCTTTCTAGAAGTAGTTATATACTGACAAAAAAAAAAATAAGAAGAAGAATACAATTGATGGAGAGGATTGCCGCATAGAGCACAAGAGCACTCTACGTGTAAAAGTGATGCACGCAACCACAATCATTGGACAGAAAAATACTCCAGATATCACCCTTCCCATGCAAGCTATATTGTCACTCAAAAATTCTTTAGTTTCTTTCTACTCAAACCATTACCTCAAACTAGCACTATGTAACTCCACTATACATTAAAATTTTTTATATGAGTATAACCTTGAGCAAAGGAAATACCATCTGCAAAAGGAACTCCCAAAAAGCACCTTTTCTTTCAAAATACACAAATCACGTAAATTTCCAAGACATGAAGGAAGGTAAGAAAAACCGTAATATCAAGCAACCAGGAAAGCTAATAGCACCCAAAATAAACTATTCCAGAATAGAAACTTTCCACTAAACACACTCATTTAGAATCCTGCCACCAAGAGCTTCAGATTACTCTAACAATTACAAATATCCATTATAGGAAGTTGCTTTGAAGAGAGAACTGTTGAGAAGATAACCTATCTTTTAGGTTGAAGGATACAAACAACAACAACAACTACGCCTCAGTCCCAAACCAGTAGGGTTTATCTTTTAGATTGAAGGATACCAGGAAAAAAAAAGGATTTTCCGAATTAACTGTGTTCCTCATTAGATTTAACTCTTCTCCTGCTTCTTTCTATGACAGTTATAGATGACCACTATTGGCCCGTGGGGTTTAAATCTGATGTCAAATTTCATGATGTTTGGTGTACTATATTGAACTTCACTAGCTGTGCACTCCCAATCATCTCCTGAGCAGCTTATGGCAGAAACTACAACTTTCAACTGTAATATATGTACACAGCATCAGTAAATCATACCTTCTTCCCCATAAGCAATATCACAAATGTCTGGGTTCTGAGGGGGTTTGCTGCACAAACAAATTAGAAGTTACAATAACAGAATTACTCTTCTGTTTCGTTGCTGCTTACTTGAAATTTTGTCGTCATTAAAGATCAAAAGTATTTCATTGTACCTCAGACAGTCGAGCAGCATGCATATAACATCAGGGCTATGCTTGTAATTCTTCAATAATGCAATGAGTGCACCACTTGCCAATGAGTGTACTCTTTCAAGTGGAGAGCATATAAGACAAACTAGTGCAGGCAAAGTAAACGAAGGATCTGCAGCAGTAAACAAAAAAGTTATTGCTCAGTCAGCAATGCTGTTTTGGATGCCAAAGGGAAGAACAAGAAGCCAGACTAAGTTCTTTCTTTACAGATGGCAGTTCCCAATTTAAAAGAGGAAAGGAGAGACCTGGTCGGCCAATAAACATGTTGACATACAAGTTGTCTAGCACATGTATACACATGTACTACATCATAGCTAGCACATGTATATGAGTTGTATAGTAGGTGTAATACAAGTTGTGTAGCACATGTATACAAATGTACTACATCATAGCTAGCACATGTATATGAGTTGTATAGTAGGTGTAATTAGGTGTATGACAACTAATAGATTAGGTGAATTAGTATTATAAATAGGTCTTGTAATCTTCTCTTCTAGATATGAAATATAGAACTTCTTTGGTTTCTAACATGGTATCAGAGCATTGAAGTTTTTTCATCAGTTTGTTGTTGGGAATTTTTTTTTCCCCGTTCGAATTATTTTTGTTCAGAACAGTCTTTCGCTGCTTTGATTCTATTTCACTATTTCCGGCCATTTTTTGCCCCGGCCGCTTCTTTACAGATTTTTCTACTCACTATTCCGACCAAAGTGGTACTGTCAGAATTTTTTTTCCTGACAACTTTCATTTTCCAAGATCACTGTTCACTGTTCAAATATTACTATTCACTGTAATGTTCAAATATCACTGTTCAAATTTCACTGCACTGTTCTTGACTATTTGATTCTGCTATTATTCGGGTGCAAGATGACTGAAACGAAACCTACCGTTGATGTCATTCCGGTTATGTCCAAAATTACGGAGAATAAGTTCATGGGTTCCAATTACATGGATTGGAGTAAGACGATCCGTCTCTATTTGCGGAGCATCGACAAAGAGAACCACTTGGTTGATGATCCACCCAAGGATGAGACTAAATCAGTCTGGTTAAAGGAGGATGCAAAATTGTTTCTCCAAATCAAGAATTCGATGCACAGTGAGGTAAATGATCTAGTTTCTCATTGTGATTATATGAAGGATCTAATGGATTATTTAGATTTTTTGTACTCTGGCAAAGGAAACTTGACTCGCATGTATGATGTGTGCCAGGCATTTTACCATCCATCCATGCAAGATCGCTCTTTCACCACTTACTTCTAAGAGTTTAAGAAGGTGTATGATGAGCTTAATGTTATATTGCCGTTTATTCCAGATGTGAAGGTACAACAGGCTCAGCGTGAACAACTGGCGGTCATGAGTTTCCTTTCTGGTCTTTCTCCCGAATTTGAAGGGGCCAAATCGCAGATTTTATCTGGGACTGCTATCTCTTCCTTGAAAGAGGCCTTTACAAGAGTGTTGCGTACTGAAAAGTCTCATCCAGGTCCGACAGCCACAATCGATAGTGGTGCTCTGCTTAGCCGCGTCCAAAAGAATAGGAGTCATAGTAATCGCAATCGGAGTAGCGATAGTCGAGACCTAAAGCAAGGGGAAGTTGAATGTTTTTATTGTCATGAGCTCGGTCATACCATACTTTATTGTGTGAAGCTTCAGAATAAGAACAAAAGATCTCAGTATGTCAAGATCGCCACTTCCGAGACTATTTCACCATCTCAGTCATCATCTCCTCCTATCAATACTATCCCC